ATTTGTTAAAACCATAACATTACATGTCATTTTAGTAATTTTCACTTGATAATATGTAAGGTGCCGAGGTCAAATGTAATATGAAATATTTGAAAATGCACGAGAGAACCTGTTATGTCATCAAATGGTTTGGCTAAAACTTTAATTAAACTTTGACTGAGCATACAGAAATGACAAGTTTGATAATGACAGTTTAACTATACGTACCTTAACTCTGAGAATACAGAAATGGCAAATTCACTTGAAGTTTTAACAAATCCATTTGTTGTTATGGCAGGTTCCCTCGAACAAATAAATTTACCAAAATGACAAGCAGAGTAGGGGTTTTAAACAAGTTTATTAAATTATAAAAATTTCTGTATTCTCAGAGTTAAGGTACGTAGAGTTAAACTTTAATTATCAAACTTTAATCTCAGTTAGTGGTGGCCAAACACCAAACAAACAAGAAAGCACAATAACAAGTAATTAGAAATTCATTTCTCAACAAATAAACAGAAAATCAAGAGTAATTTACAAAACTAGGTTCATAATCCTTTAGAACAAAAGAGATTTAGCTACTCATAGCTAAGAATAATATCATGACAGCACAAAAAGATTCAGAATCCATAAACATAAGGAGGAGGAGGAGGAAGAAAAGCTAATAAACACTGTTGTTGGTGCAATTTCTTCACTTCCTCTTTGATCCCAAGCTCAGGGCTCCAAACTTTGCTCTCTTAGGCTCCGTTTGGTGCAATGGAGTGATTTTTGATGGAATGAGAATAGGAGTGGGAATGGGAATAGGAATGGAATAATAAGTGGAATGAGTTATAAAAACATGTTTGGTATGTTGATGGAATGATTGAATAATTTTTAGTCAATATATGTAATTATAATAGCTAAATACTATTATACCATTATTAAAATAAAAAACAAAATAATATTTAAGCATTAGCAACTGCCAACTCAGTATCCCACCATTGTAGACCACCATGAGGACCACCTCAAGGGGCTACCACTAGCAACCATTAACTCTAGAAAACTACAAAATCACGGGCATTAAAGATGAGAAAAGAACATAGAAGGATCGATGCAGATAAAAGGTGAAGCTCCATTCATTAACAATAATTCTTCTAGAGAATCAAAACCATGACTCATTAGCACGGTAATCATTAACAACAACATAAAAAAGAACCAATATCAAAGATCAAAAACCAATCTCCTTTTAGCGACTCAAACGCTTTAGAGATTCTGGTTTATCTAGCGGCTAGATCACGGAGATTTGAGAGACGGGTTGTCTATTTGCAGCAAGCAAACTTGCAAAATTAGGGAAACAATGAGAGGGGCAGTTATGTTTGTAAAATTATTTACTAGGGATAATTTTGTCTATAAAAGTTTATTCCTAAGGACTGGATCTCATTCCCATGGTCTAGTGATGGAATGGGAATTACGTCGAATGACGTAATGGATCATTCCATTAAAATGACCACTCCCATGTACCAAACAAAATAACATGTTATTTCTTTTCTCATTCCCATTTCATTACCTCTCATTTCATCATACCAAACATGGCCTTAGGGTTGCCTCCAAGTTTAGATGGTGAAAGATGGATGTTCTCTCTCTAAAAATCAAACTAAAATAGGATTTTCACTCAAAAAATGAAACTTGTCGTTTTGGTTTCTGATAGGTGCCATGGCATTCCTATTGGGGTGCCATGACACCAGAGAGCAAGTCTGATAACAATTCTAGAGGTGTTATGGCACTTTTGCTTTTGTGTCGTGGCATTCAAGACGAGAACTTCTCCTTAGTTCTCTTCTCTTTCTTGCTTAAGCCTTTCATGCCCCATCTATCAAAATCAATATTTATGAGTGATATATTTGCTTACTTCAATTTCAACAATTTTAAATCATTTTCCTTAAAAAGATTACATTCAATCCATATGATGCATTTAGTTAATTTCTGTTTATAAAAGCAAGAAAATAATTCTACCTTTTATTGATAACTCCCCAAACATAACAAAAAATGGGAAGTCAATACAAATGCCTCTTGAAGGAATAATTGAGAGGCAAAAATATCATTCAACCCCTTTCTTTAATGACGACAAGAAATCTTGAATATGGGAAAATGATCTCGTGTGCAGGGGCGGTCCTACATGTATTTGAGGGCTGGTGGGAAATTACTCCTCTCAATTTTATGATAACTTATGTAAATATGGACTAGGTTTTAATTATTTGCCTCCACTGATATGGTAATTTTGAACCTACTAGTCAAAAGAGGATCAAGGGAAGAGGAAGGGAGGGGGGCGGGGAGATGACAATTACTTAGGGCTAGGTGAGTGGTTTTGGGATGCAGAATTTGTCAAACGGGATAGAAAATATAGTTGGACCTGGTACCTTAAATTTAAGATGTTGGGAGAAGTAAAGTTGAGGATGGGATCATTAAAATTTATAACAATGGGTAGTGAGAGATGAATGAGATTTTAGAATAATTCAAGTATTATGAATGATCATTTTTTATTTCAAACTGTTTAATTCTTATATTTTTTGTAGAATAATTTATTTTTTTCTAGATTTCTACTAAAATCATTCATATAGTTTTAAATAATTTTGATCTTTATATATTCAATTTATTTTTTTTTCAAATCAAGTGGGTACATGTGGTACAATAAAAAAAAAATAGATTTCATCATCAAAAGTCCAAAAGTTGCAGTCAAAAGTTTTTAGCGGCAAAAATGTCATCACTATAACTATCATAGCTAATAATTTTTGATGACAACAAACATTGTTATTGCCAAAAGTATACTTTTAGCAGTGACATTAGTTGTCACCAAAAGGTTTTTGCCGCTTAAAGTCTATTTTTAGCAAAGACACTTTTTTAAAAAAATAATAATTTATTTTATACCACGTTACTCCACCATGTGTGTATCACATGATGCCACTTCATGCCACATCACCTGCCATGCATGTAGCAGATGATGCCACAAGCTTGCTATCTTGTGCCACATCACTCACTACCTCATGCCACATCACACATCACATGTTTGGTAGATGAGAAAGTAGGGTCTCTCCACTTCTTTTTCCTCCAATTCCCTCCACTTCTCCCATCCTCACCATTCATTAATTTTTTTATTTAAAAAAATTGTTTAATAAAAAAATTTGAATGGTGGAGATGGGGGAAGTGGAGAGAAAGGGAAGAAAAGAAAGGGAGAGACCCCTGGTCCGGTAGATGATGCCACCTTATGCGTTATGTCACCATCACGTGCCACATCATATATTTGTTGCAAAAATATGCTAAAATCAAAGTTTGAATCCATGACCTTCCATCTCCATGCCTTAAGTCTATCTTCTTTGCTAGATGAACTAAAATGCATTTATAGTTAGTGTATGTGAAATTAAATATATATTGTTTAACTACATACACATATACCAAATAATATATTATTAAAAAGATATACATATATTTTATTTTATTTTCAATTATTAATATTTTTGTTAGGGAAGTGAATATAAAATAAAAAATTTTAAATATTAAATAATATTCTTATATACATTGTAACCAATTTTTAGATTTTATTTTTTATTTTTTATTTTTTAAATGAAAATTATAAAGTATATAATTTATTTATAAATATTTATTCCATTAGTTTATGTTAAATATCTTTTACTTTTTTCTTCTTCATATTTTTTTAAAAATTAATAAATTAAATGATTAAATTTTTATCTTCTCTCAAAATGTTTAAATGTTTTCCCCTCTTTTATTAAAAAGATATTTTATCTACAATTTTTTAATATCTTAAAAAAGTATTTTAATAAAAAATTAATTTCATCCATGTAAATTTTGTTAATAGTCATTTTGAATAATTTTGAATTTTTAATGAATATTAATAATATTTGCAATACAAGATAATTACAAAAATATTATATGTAATCAATCTAGTTAACCTCTAATCATTCTCTATCTCATAACAAGGTGGATTTGAATAATTTTTCATATTCTTCTTAGTAATAATAAGTTATAAAAATTATTTTAGTCACTTCTTTTTTAATAACAATGAAAACTAAATATACTAAGCAGAATTATATGAAATCCTTGTCCAAAAGCCATTAGAGCTTAGCAAAAGAAGTAAACATTATGTATATATCAAACTAAACATCAAGTGTTTAATATGCTAAGTAGTTTACAAATGTTGTCACCAAAAGTAATTACACAAATTTTTTTAATTTTAAATTATTTTTTATAAAAATACTTTTAGAGATGACATTTGTCATCATCAAAAGCTCATTTTAGTGGTCATTTTTAAATGTTATCACCAAAAGTTTACTTTCAGCAACATTTAATTGTCGCCATCAAAAGTATATTTTTGGTGGCAACATTTGGTGGTGACATATTGTTGCCACTAAAAGTAAACTTTTGTAGTGACTTTTTTTTATTATCACTAAAAATCGCTGTCAAAAATCATTTTTGTTGTTGTGACTTGTAGATGACTCTATATTATTTAAATAAGTAGTTAAGGTTCGAATCTCAACACTTGTACAGGTAAAAACTTAGTTCATCTAGTTCTATCCATGTACTAAATATATAGGACAAATGAGATTTATGGATGAAACATATTATTTGTATCTCACCCAAAAAAATTATGCCTAAAATGATGAAGCTTGATACGAGTTTGTTGGATGATTTTGCAGTACATATCTCTTGGGATGAAGAATCCATATTTGATATACAATGATGCACTAGGATTCTTGAGCTTGGGAATGAAATTCTTGGTTTATATATATGTGAGTCCTCTTGCAAAATTTTTGGTATTATTTGATTTTGTCTGATGCTATCTATGAAAAGCAGCATGATATAATTTAGCTTCCACGGTTGGCCCCTTCATCATTTCATTGCCTGAGTCCTGAGTTTGGATTGTTACCTAGTGTGTAACTTACAAGATCTCAGGCTTAACAGAAGATAATCTCAAATATTGAGTATAGTTATTTATTGCACTGAATTTATTTGGCCTCTTCGATTGGTGAACGGTATTGGGGCTCAAATGATTTAATATATTTTATGTTCTGTTTCGCCAATACATATTGTCACGATCACAACTGAATATTTCTGTCAAGGCTGATAAAATCAGAAAATTACAACCACTCAATATTGCTATTAAATCAAATACTAAAGTTTCAGTCACATAATTCAAGGGAAAAGGACAGCAGAAGAGAAAGACAATAGAGAGAGGAGAAGAAACTGCTTCACTGCCATCACGCCTTCATCTATTTGTAATTCACATTGAAATTAGGATAAAAAGCAAATTCACCTCTAAACTATAAATCCAAGAACATCTGAGACTTTAAAGTTAACAATTGAAGCCTCTACCATTAACAAAATTTAACTTTGTATGTTAGTTGATTAGAAAATGAAAGAAAAAAAATAATCAATAAAATTTTCTTAGTCTTTTTTTGTAATTTTTAGATCTTTGTATATAATTTTTTTGTCATTTTCTATGATTTTTTATGTCATTTTCTAGCAAATAATTATTAAAGTTAACTCCTGTTAATGGTAGGAAGATTATATTGCACCATTTTTAAAAGTTGAAAGAAAACATTGCACCAAAAATGAGTTTAGAATTCTCAATGTTTCTGAACCTATAATTTAGAGGTGAATTTGTCATTTAACCCTTGAAATTAATTGACTCATGGGAATGAATATTTGATACCTAAGGATACAAAAATCTCCAGAGAATCTTACCCATTGGTAAAAACATCTTTCTCCTCCTGTACCACGAATGAAAATGTTGTGGTTTAGTTCTCATATGAAAGGGAAACAAAATTAATAATATATAACTAATAAACTGATCACATGAAACGACAATATATACATGCCCGCTCACCTTGTCCTTTTCTTTGTGTTATTGATGTTTCTTTTATCACTAGCCTTGGACTTTCTCAGGAGCTTCTTGGGTGGTTCGTTAGGAACAGAAGCTATCGCTCTTCGTTTCAGTGAAGTTCTAGAAGACGTGAACTGGACATTCTCCATGTCTGTTTGCTGCTTGTCGACATAAACTCCACAATTAACTATGTCTATATCATCTGTACGACATGTAACTTGAATTTCCACATCGTTCCAATCCAATTCCAGAGACTTATTAAGCCCCTCTAACTCTTGTTCTGAAAATTCGCCGAGTAGATCAGAGAAAAACACATGACCTTGTTTACCAAGAGAAACCAAAACACGACCTCCTTCAGCTTCGATTGGAAAATCACTTTGCATCCATGGCATTTTGCTACTGCCATTGATGTTCATGAACACCTGAAAACTGTATCTCTTATTTATATTAGTCTTCCCTGTCTCAAATGCGATGACAACACGAGGGAAATTTCTGCCATGAACACGAAAAGACAACGTCCCTCCTTGACAGCAATGGTTGAACCAATCAGGATATGTTGTTGCTGGCATCCAGATTGCCATGCGATGGCACTTCGTGGCCTAATTTAACAAGGCAGTAGCGACAAAAGGCGTTTTCAGATTTCAAACATTAATTTTATGGTCTGTGCATGTTATCTTGGACACGCAGACAGTGACTACGATTCAATTAGTGACATGTCATTGGATGAAAAATCAACTAAAAAATCTATTGGCTTGTACTCCTTCCCATCCTTATTATACCGCACCTTCTAGATAAATTATTTGGTCACTAATATAAAGCATGTAATGGGATATTAATTACATTTTTTTCAATATTACTTCTATTTAAAATCATTAATCATGAGAAAGATTGTAATGCAAATTTGAAAATTTTTCATTTAAATAGGGGTGAAATTGAAAGTTTATTCTATTTTCAAGTTAATAACTTAATCACCTCTCCTAGGTTCTAACAAGTTAGTTAGAGATGCCTTAAAGAGGGACCAGAGGAAGTATATTAATTTATGGATAGATATAGAACAGAATGTTAATATTATAAGCATTTAACGGAAAACCAAGTAAAAGAAAATTCTCCTTTATGAAAAGTAGAGGGGCTTTGCAAAATTAAATTGTTAACCAGACTGGATAAAAGAGGGATTGAAAATTAAAAAAAAGGGGGGGGTCACCGGACAAGAAATGAATTGATGATTATTTAATTTCTGAGGAACTAGAGAAATGAATAAGGCAAATGAAAATCACCATTAATTACTATCTTACCATTCGCACTTTATTTAACTTGATTAATCTTCAAAATGATGAAATAGAAAAAGAATGAGCAAAACCTGAGACCACAAATGGCCTGAAGACTCCACGGTTAATGATGTGCAATTCTCTGCCGTTATGTCCCCTAAACTTGATGGAAGCTCTGTAATATCTCTGAGTCTCTTGCAGTTACTCACTTCTAGTTTCCACAAATGAACACACTCCTTAATACACTCAGGAAATGACACTAAATCATTCCCTGACAGATTCAAGTCTCTCACATTCTGAAAACATTTCAGAGTTAGGTGAAGATCCTCATCCAACAGACCACAATTATGGAGATCCAGGCGATCTAATTTCGTGCAGCTAACAATTGATGGTTGGCTCTCTTGCAATAATTTCTTCAAAGATTTTCTCCCATGAGGTTTTAGACCTCCTAATAGAAGCACTCCAAGATTATGCAATGTCAATAAACTGTTTGGAAGCTCCCTAAGACTTTTGCAGGATCTTAAACTCAAAATGTCAAGCCTTGGAAGATTTCCAATTGAAGATGGGAGCTCATTAATTGCAGTGCCTTCTGCATAAATATACATCAGTTGATCCATTTTTCCCACAATGTGTGGGAAGTCGTCAAGACTCTTGCAATCATTGAGATTAAGAACTTGAAGAGATGGCATCTTGATTTCATGTGGAAAGCTTGCAAGTTTGATGCATTTGCTAACGTCTAATTCGACAAGCTTACGTAGAGATCCTACTGAATCATGAACTTTGATCAGATTGTGACATTCACTAAAGCTCAATTCTTTCAAATTTTGAAATCGAGACATCTCAGGTACTTCTGTTATGAATTCACACTTCGAGAAATCCATATATGTCACATATTCAAACTTCTGCAAAACGAAAACTAGATTAATAACTAACTGTAGATATTCGTCCGTTTGATTCAAATAAATGATGGAAACCGAATGGAATAATTGAATGGGATGATGTAAAATAAAATGGAATGAAATGTTGACAACCATGAACTTGTTTGAGACTTCCTCTGGTCCTAATCATTGCATGAAGTTAACAAACTTTACTGTTCTTTAAGAATGCTAATTAATATCCTTAAACTTGTAAAAAAATGTTTGATTTTTCAATTTATCCGATCTTCAACTGAAAATAATAACCACAATAAAATGTATCGAGGAATTAAAAGTTTTCCAACAACTTAGTGCAATTACAAGGAGGGAAATATTGAAAAAATTAACTATAACATCTTGCCCTATATTTAAGACCAAATAGACTTTTAAAATTTTGCCATGCAATTATAGCTAGAGGGACAACTAAAATATATAAAACATGGACTGAAGTAAAAACCAAATTAAATCAGAATTATTTGCAGCTTGATTATTTTGAAAATTATCATGAGATTTGTGCGGGTCTAAGAAATATTATGAGAGGTTTTTAAACGGTCAGAAGAAATAGGACAATTGAAGTAATTTATTCTTTATTCACAGACCAAAATTACGGCTGAAGAAGCTTGATTAAAGAGTGAAAAAAATGTACCTTGAATGGGTCCTCCAATCTGAAAGGACTTCCGGATATCTTGAAGCAAATTAGTTTTCGGGGAGAAAAGTCTAGTGGTAAAGTCTTGGAAGGATATCCCTGCCAATCAAGTAAGACTAAACTATTTGGAAGATATTTTGGACTTGCTGAAAATTGGGTATTGCGAACAATAAGAATTCTAAGATTAATCATCTTTTCAAATGCTAAACCATTCCACTCCACTTCTTCTTGCTGAGGTGGATCAAGAATTATTCCTTCAATATTCCTGCCTCCCTATAATTCAAGCCCAAAGATGTAACAAAATTAGATATTATCAAATTAGACAATTAATCTAAGGTTTTAGACTATATACATATAGAATAAAATTGGCCAGAATCTTACTAAATTTTCACGCAATACTTTGAGAACATCTTTGTGATACCATAATCTGCCGCGTTCACCTGGATCATATGGTGCTTTTTGCCTAACTATCTCTCTACCCATATGCTGTACTAGATCGTGCATGTACAAGTAACCATTATCAAGAACAGTTATCAGAGATTTATCAACAAGAACTTCAATATAAAACCTTGCCCCACTATGACAAGCTTCCAGTATTGCTTCAACGTATTCAAATTTCTCCTCCTTAAAGAAACAAGCAATATCTAAGAAGATATGCTTAGCACCGTCTTGTAAGCAGTCATAGCTTATCTTCAATACATGATGAATTGTTCCTTCTGGGATCTCATCGTATTGCTTCAATATAGATCTCCATTCCTCAATGCTTTTATTTGCCAAATTGGAGCCTATTAATTTTAAAGCCAGAGGAAGACCATGCACATACCTTATAACATGAATCGACATGTTTTTATAGCCTTTCTTAGGTTGGCTGGTACCAAAGGCAAACCAGCAAAAAAGTTCAAGAGAGTAAAGCTGATTTAGCTTCTTCATTTCATATGTTATTTTAACATTACATGAAATTAGCAATTGCTTATTTCTTGTTGTTATAATGATCTTGCTTCCAGATCCAAACCAATCGCACCCGCCAGAAAGTTGTTCTAATTGTTCAACCTCATCCACATCATCAAGAACCAACAAGACCTTTTTGCAAGAGAGTCTGTGTTTTATGTTTGAGATTCCTTCATCAACACTACCAAACTTCATCTTCTTCTCTTCAAGAATCTCCGATAAAAGTGTCTGTTGAAGGCGAACTATGCCCTGATACTTCTTTGATGCTTCTTTCACATCAAACAAAAAACATGAACCTTCAAATTGGTAAAAGATTGAATTATAGATAGCTTTGGCAATCGTTGTTTTGCCAACTCCACCAGTTCCATGAATCCCGAACATACAAACACGATCATCAGATTTATTTAGAAGTGACATCACCTCCTCAATACGAGGCTCAAGTCCAACCATATGATCAGTGTTATGGTAGCGCTTAGGAGGCAGCAAAGTATATGCATCTTCGACAATCCTTTCAATAAATCCCAACTCATACCTACAGAAACACATTCGCTTTTTACATGAATCATGATAAAATGTCTTCTTTTGTATGTTTTTGATCGTTCATAACATATTTTTGCAATAAAATCATGTTATAGTTCTTCAAAGATAACACCAATATATTAAGATGCTCTTAGTTTTTTTCACTATGCAAAAGCTTTTTATTTCAAATTATAAATCCATAAAAATATTTTTGCTGCTCTAATGGTCACATTTAATTAAGTAAAACAAAAAATAATCAGGGTAAAAAGAATGTAAATGCAAAAAAATAAAATATTTTTTGAGTGAAGCAAAAGAATAAAATATCAAGCAGTTGCGTAAGTCTCTTTGGCAAAAAAGAACAGTAAACAAAAATTTTCAGCATTTTCAGATATAAAATTTAACCCAGATTACACTATGCACAAAATATGAACAATCAATATAATATAAAGATCGATGTGTCTGGTTTATTTAAAAAGATAAATGAATTTATTTTCATATATCAATGTCTCTTATAGTATTGCGTTCCAAAAGTAGATTACTGGAATTAGAATAAGAACTGGATTCAAAAGACTTTAAACCAAAATAGGACGACAGCCAGGATGAATAGATTGTATGCTTAAAAGCACATCTTCTGCTCGATTTATCAAGAACGTCAAATGCTCACATTTGATGTAGTAGGAAAATTGTTTTGGGGATCTTGGACATTTCAGCGATCCACTGATTATCATATTAGCAATTACTCCCCCTGTTTTTTTATTGTTAAAGAAACTACTATTTTTTACTTGTATTTTCTTATAAGCAAAATTACTCATTTCAATAAGCATTTAATACACATTTTTCAAATTAATTTTCATAATTTATATTAAAAAGAAATAATTAATGCATGCTTATGTCGATTAACACAAGACATTTTAATTCAATTTTTTTATTTTCAGATATAATTATTATCATTAATCAAATTTTTTAAACTGTGATATAATTTTTCTCTCTTACATATAGAAACAGAGAAAGTATTAAATAAAATATTATTTTATGATTTTATTGGTAAAAATAAAAAAAATTATGGTTAAATTGTAATATAAAAATTTTTATGTTGAAAACATTAAATTAAGATTTTTTAAATAACTAAAAAAATTAAATACTTAAAAAAAATTCTTAATACCCCAAGTTCATGGAGATTGACCTTTAGATTCCCAAAAATAGAGAGAAAAAACTAAACAGGGATAAGAAATGAAAAATATGTATCTTAACTTCAAAATTTTAATGCTCGCGTTGATGATCTTTTCACTTTCATTAAGCTCAATTTTATCCATTTGACTTTATCATATCAACTCAAGTGCGCGTATATTTGGACATTTTAACCATTAACATGTTAAAGATATCATCAAAAACCACCAATATATTGATAAAAAATCTCATAATGAAGAAGGCAATCAAACAAAACCTACCCATCGTCAAAAAGCCATGCTGATGATAAGCTCGCAGCTTCAGACAGAGCAGACCTCCAGTTTCGCACTTTCTGTAAGTCATCTCTGAACCTAACTTCATGAGCAGCCATGGCTTCCTCAAAGCTATTTCTCTGATACTGAACATCCAACGGATCCACCTTGTAGAAGATCGGCATCACCAGCTGGTTCTTCTGCTTCCTACACCAAACGATGTGGGCGAGTTCCTCGAGGCACCATGTGGAAGTAGCGTAGTTGGTAGAGAAGACAATAATGGAAATCCTGGATCTCTCTATGGCTTTGAGAAGCGTAGGAGAGATCTCTTCCCCTTTGCCAAGTCTCTTGTCGTCAATGAAGGCGTTGATTCCCTTACGGCGCAAAGCATTGTAGAGAGGCACGGTGAAGGAGTTTCGAGTATCTTCGCCTCTGAAACTCAGAAAAACATCATATTCATATCTATACCTGCTGGTTTCACTGGTGAAGCTGAAGGACGATGGTGAGGCCACTTGAATCGCCATAAGATAGCTGCGATAATCGCAACGGTGAAGTTAAGGTTTAAAGCTGATGTTTTGATAGGTCCATCGATTTCATTTGGGCGTTGTGATATCCGATATCTCCCAAGTCTATGGTTAAGTTGCCAACCCAAATGGTGCCGAAGGTTATCCCTGAAAATAAATAATTAATAAATTCACCAAAAACTAAATAACTAATGAGTTACATATGGAAAGAAAAGAAAAATATTATGCTGAGAGATTTATAGTAGGAATCATTGTTTTAAATTTTTGAATGACTCAATATATAAATTGTTGTGTGCGAGGCCAAATTTTTAATATAGATATTTATTGGTAGTTAAAATTATTTTAATAATAGCTATCACGAATAATTTTAAAAAATATTTTATTAACATGAATATCAAAGTGATAAATTAAACAAGTCTCTCCAGTCAATGCTGAAAGTGGATCCAAATTAATAATGTGCAGAGGATGGTGCCCTGTTTTTGTTTGACTTTTATATCGTTCTTGAAGTAGCTGTTTTTTTTTTTTTAATAAAATAAAGCAAATGATGCGGATGATTGATCCGACATCTGTCTTTTTTCCTAATTTGTTTTTTGTTTTATTTTCATTTCGATGGACTCAATAACCTGAGGCGGACCCCAGATGCTTAGTGCGCGAGGCAAAATTCTTAAAAAATAATATAAATATTTTTATTTTAATTTAAGTGATTGTAACATCTATCATAAATAATTTTTTTATATAAAAAATGATTAAACAACAGTCAAACCTGTTTATACTGAAAAAGGATCCAAAAACGGTGCAGAGGATGAAGCCTCGTTTTTGTTTGACTTAGCTCGTATATTTCTTGCAGCACTTGTTCTGAAAATAAATAAATAAGTAAAACACTATACGAAAATATTTTGTTTCACTCAGTCAATATATATTATATTCTTAAACCATTGTTTAGTGAATTCCAGATTTTTTTAACTGAGAGTCAATGGTTGATGACTTAATTTCTTCTATTGGATATTCTTGTCTTTCTATTGCATCGATATTTGATTGATATTTGATATTTTGTAATACCAAGTTGTGTTTAAATTGCTAATGACAAGTTGTTTCAGTTGCAAAGCCACCTACCTATGAGGAAGAGGGGTTCAAACCCTGCATTGAGATGTATATGGATGCATGAATTGTTAATAACAATTGATTACTTAAAAAAAATTGTGTGCAAATTGATTACTTAAGAATATCTCCCAACAGAATGTCATGCATCTACATGACTCTAATTTAAGACTGTGTTGCATTACTATTTTTGATCCCTTCTTTTTCCTACTTGTCCTTCTTAATTAGTTATGCCATAGGTTGAAGTTCAGTGTAGCTTTAGAGTATCATAGTCGAGGCAATCCGAATGTCTACGTCTACTAATAATAGTATTTTCCCTCTACATCCGTTGGATAAGGATGAATAATTAGACTATAATAATTGGGCTGGGCCAGTTATAATTAATTTAATATTTTTAAATAATACATAAATTATAAAGTATATTCCTTCATGACCATAAGCTAATATCTAAATAAAGAAATATTCAACCAAAGGATAAAATATATAAATCATTTATAATTTTTAATTAATTTGAAAAACATACAAATATATTTAGCAGGTTTCATCCTCTCTGTTTTTTTTTTCTTAACTAGTATGAATGACATACAGATTTTCATAAATATCAAATAAGACTTAATAATATTAATTCAAAATTCTTTTCAAAAATATTTATCTAAACCAATGGCCTGGATTTTCTAGATGTTGAGGGAAAGTATTATCAGTAGACATAGATATTCAAGTTTGTATAGTGGAACTGTGAAGTGAAGATAGATGAAAATTGAAAATGAGAAAGGGGAGATGAAAAGGGGCTGGGCTAGGAGAGATGCAAAGAGTGAGAGACTAAATTAGGAGAAAAACTGAAAACAAATATAAGAAGGGTGAAGTGCATCCACAGCAACTCATCTCCATATCAGAACTTATTGGTGATGCCGTTTAGTGGTGATTTAGAACTTATTCATCTCACAATCAGAAGCATTTTATAAGATACAAGACAGGTGGAGGCAGGAATTATGAATTAGTGAATGCATAGCGTAGATTAGCACTCATTTATACCATTGCTTGAGCATGGAATTTTCCCTGAAGTTGGCATCTAATTTCTGTTTGCTTCCTAATGAATTTCCAATTTTCTAATCTTCTTTTCAAATTAGTTTCTTAAAATTCACTAGCAGTAAACAGACATTTTGATCATTTGAAATCTGATAAATCATTTGGAGTTAGTTTGAATTTGGTGGCAAGCTGCTCTAACCTGAACTAACTACATATGTTGCTTTTTTCTTGCCAGATTCGCCAAGTCTTAAGTGCAGTGGCGGAGCCACATGTAATTGAGGGGGTACACATGCTCCCCCTTACTTGGGAAAAATGACATGTTTGAGAGTATAGATTTTTATATTTTATAATTTACACCTTTGACGTATTATACTTTGCACCCTCCTTATTTTTATATTTTAAATTTTAAATCCATTTCAATCTTACTTTTTTAGCCCAAATCTATTTAAATTTTTAACTTAGCCTCATGAATATTAGCCCATAATTTCCCTATACCTAAATACCAATCTTATTTATTAATTGTTTAAAAAATAGAAAAAAAATTTAATATGACTAAATAGACTCACTTCTCGCCCTAAATACTACTCAAGCACTAGTTAGAAAAAAGTCAATGATAAATAATGAAGATTCAAAACTCAAGAGTAAATTGGGTGAATGTTTTTTGCTAGCTCACTGCACTTACGAATTTAAAAGTAAAGGTTGGATAAGGAACAAAAAAAAAAAAAAGAAAGAGCAAAAGAGAAATAGTTGATTTGAAAAAAATAGAAATGTCTTCCTTTTACCGAGAATCCTAACTCCTTCATTGTCCCCTGACCCAGGATCCTAACTCCGCCACTATTTAAGTGCAATGCGTAGGAGTGAGAACTTATGAGATGAGGTTTATGATTTTGCTCACAATCTTATATATGCACAGTCGATGACAATGACATCCTATTATGTTGGAATTATTGTCATTGGTTCATTGCTGTTGATGATGTATTGATGTGCACGCTACTCATTTTTCTTTTATTGTTATCTCAGTAAATCTAAGAATGGAAATGTCTAGTTGGCATATGCAGCTTCCCATGTTAGGTTTTCATGCAGATGATGTAAGTTTGTGTGCAGTTACAGTTTTTGAGGTAGTTGTGCTTTTCCTTATGTTGAGCATTGCAATGGAAAAAGTCTTATGCTGAATGTCAAGTTCATGCCTTTCTTATCTCAGGATGCTTGGTTTTGACTGCTACCTAGGATAAAGGTGGCTTGATTTTGTGCCTGGTTAGTAAAACATGAATGTATGTGAAAGTAAAAGTTTTGAATTCTTCAAATTCAGTTATATGCTTTTTGTCAAGTTCAGATGCTGAGCTTAACCGCTTTAATATATCCCCTATCTCATAATAATTTAGGTTCGCACCTAAAAGTGGGTGTGCAATTCTCACAACCTGACCCCATTACTTGAACTTTAGTGGAAGTGAACATCTAAGGAAAAATAGTCATAATCTTTATGATGTGTGTTGTTTGTGAATTAAACTCTGTCCTGGCAGCTTGTGACGGCAATCTTTAAGTTGGACTTAGTAATACTATACTGATTATTGAGAACTGAGAATACTAACTTGAAAAATATTTTCTATTTTGATCCCCTGCATTGCTCCCTGCTCCATAAACATTTTATATTTTTTATTTACCCTACTATACTATTGAAGAGATGTTTGAGGTATATTTCCATTTTTATTGTTTATTTTTTGTTGAAACGTTTAGTTTAATTTTTATATTTTTATATTTTTTCTTTCAAGCTATTTTCATGCTTCATATGTATGTGTCTCAAGGTTAGGTTCTAAATCATATTTCAAAAATTTAAATGCTTAACTAATCACTGCTTAATTTTTTGAAAAATTGGGCAGCATTTTCCCTTAAAAATTGTCATCCAAAAATTACATCAAGCTTGAAAGCAAGCTACCATTCATTAGTAATCAACAAGTAACATCTCTATGACCATTTCTAAACCCTTTCCTATCATTTAATCATCAAAATATCAAGCCTTGTTATGTCTAGAAAAACAGGACAACATCTCATCATTATGAAAACACAAGCAAAAATTATGAAAAATAGCTCAAAAAGAAGCTCTTCCATACCTCTTCTCAATGCATTAACTTATTCTTGCTTTTTTCACGACTTCTTCCATCTATGCCATTTCAAACTCATCCTCTCGAAAAATCATAGAAATGTTCCTCTTGATGATAGGAACAACTTTTGTGAAGGCACTTTGAGATAGAAATGTAATTTTGACAGATTTTGCTTATTTTTCTTTTTCTCTCTCTAAACTTTCATGGAAGAAGCTCATGCATTCTCTCTCTACTTCTGCAATTTGACCACCGAAATGAGTAGAGAAGAGGAGGTTACGTGGGGTTAAAGTGGAGAAATTAACTTGATTTAATAACTTGTTCAATTCCACTCATTTCCAACCAAGCATTTTTCTCTTTATTTTTGGGCCAAGCAAAATTAAAAATCCTCCTTCATTTGCTGCCCATCATCCACGCCATTTCTGCCTCCAAAAATTGGGCTTGGGTTTGTCTCATGTTACTTCCTATCTAAAGCTAGAAATATTGATATTTTCCTTACCTTAATATAATTTAAATCCCATAATTAATTATTTGAAAAATTCTTTAAACAATAAAATTGGTATTACTTTTCTAAATATTTCTTCCTTTTATATATTAATTTCCTTTAATTCTTCATGAATTTTGGGTATTTTTTGTAATTACACTTAAAGATTCAAAAGCTCTTAGAAATTAGACTTTAACCCCGATTGAGCTTGATATTTTAGGGTTAATATTCACTCTTGTTTATTTTTAACTCTAGGTACTTTTTCATACTCTCATTATATTTAATTATATATAATTAACTTTAAACATTAATAGTTACTATTTGGCTTGGATAAGTTATTACTTTTACTCGTTTTTCTTCTTTTTTCTTTTTTAGCCTAGTTAGTAGTTGAGCTATTTAAGAAAAAAAATACTCTCTTTGTAATAGTTAGCCAAATTCAAAAGGTCTTGGTAGTTTAAACTCATCTCGCATGCACTGATATTTGAAACGAGAAAAAAATTTCCCTAAGAAAATAGATATTAAACATAAGATCTATTTTCTATGATAGTTGATCATCATCATATTAATATATTTATTAATGTCATAAATTATCAATTAAGTGAATTAAATAATAAATTTAGTGAACAAGCAACTGAGCTTCTTAAGTTGAACAAAGATTTGGGTTGTTATTCAATGTTATGAACATATGCAAACTTGTTGAGGAATTTCATTTTTAAAATTTTTCTGATTAAGAAAAAATAACCAGCTCATTGTGCCCCTTTTTCTAAATAAGAATTACGCCCATTTTTAACAAGTTGGATCTTCTGAATGGATAATATGATAACATTATACGTTATTATAAATTTACTTTATAAAACATGTCTGGTAGTATATTATTTCATATTATGTGCTTATAGCGCGGTTACTTTAACTCCACTTGTGTAACTCTTGGATTCGATACTTTCAATTATTAAACGTGGACCTCCGAAGGTTTTATCTTTTTTTAAATTTTTTGGCCAGAGAATCCTCTGAAGTTGAAATTTTATGAATTTAATTAAGTATTTTTAAAAAAGAGAGGGAATAATTGATATTTTATAAAAAATAACAAAATGAGTAGAAATGTAAAAAAAAAAAATTCACAAAAAATTATGAATATCAATTTTAGAGAGTTCAAGTCCATTGAACACCTCAAAGTGAAAAATGCTCTATGAAGAATTTCTTATATGAACCTAATGCACTACGTCATCCATGGTTCATTTAATAAAATTATACCAATTTAATCAAATAAAATCTTATGTATCATAATTTTTAATGAATTTATTTTTATAATAGAATGTCTATTTAATTTCTTATCTTTTCTTTGTCTACTATCATGCATTAATGTTAGAATCATTTTATATTTAATGTTATTTAAAGGCATGTTTTTATTGAATAGCTAATGAATGACGTGGTGTACCAAATTTATCTAAAAATTTCTTATAATTTTAAAGACAATTAGATAACTCATTGGAGTGTAATTTAGTTAAAAGTACCTTATACTAGTAAATGAAAAGATTATATCATTATCCTTGTCATTATCAATCAATACACCAATAAAATATTAATATATAATTATATATAATAAAATTTAATTATGAAACAAATTAGAGCATTCACAAACTATAGTTAATAATATGGTATGTTTTACTTTTCAAATTTTATACAATAGAGTATTAAACAAAGCACGTGTTAGATATAAAAAAATGTTTCGAAAGACACTGTTTCAATATTGGCCATGTATCCGATTCACCTGTAGTGGTGGAGCCAGAATCCTAGGTCAGGGAAGACAATGATGGAGTTAGGATCTTCGATAAAAGGAAGACATTTCTGTCTATTTTAAATCAACTATTTCTCTTTTATTCTTTCTTTTTCTTTATTCCCTATCCAGCTTTCAATTGTAGATTCGTAAGTGCAGCGAATTAGCAAAAAACATTCACCCAATTTACTCTTGAGTTTTAAATCTTTATTATTTATCATTGACTTTTTTCTAACTAGTGCCTGAGTAGTATTCAAGGCGAGAAGTGAGTCTATTCAGTCATATTAGATTTTTTTTCTATTTTTTAAATAATTAATAATATTAGTATTTAAGTATAGTGAAATTGTGGGTTAATATTTATGAGTTTAAGTTAAAAATATGAATAGATTTGAGCTAAAAAAATAAGATTGAAATGGATTTAAAGTTTAAAATATAAAAATAAGGGGTGCAAAATATAATAAATAAATGGTGTAAATTACAAAATATAAAAACTATACTCCCAAACATGTCATTTTTTCCAAATGAGGGGGGTATATATCCCCCTCAATTACATGTGATTCTGTCACTGGTTAAAATCTGGCAAGTTATAACTTATCTTTTTTAACTATTCGTGAAAAAAAAATTAATTGATCGTCTTTAATTATGTTTGAGCCTCCCATCGTGTCGCTCCTTTCAGTATCAAATAAAGCAGTGAAGCATTTTGTCTCCTCTTTTCCTTTCATCTGCTTTTAAATTTTTTGTTTTAACCACCAGCAGCAAAGCATCTCTTATGTACGTACATAGAGCATGAGCAATTTTTAGGTAAATCGAATACACCGTATTATTTGTTGCCTGTCCAATGATATTTAAATAATATTAAATAAAAATTAATTCTAACATTAATGATAATAGAAAAAAAAATTAAAATGCATTTTATGGTATAGTATAATAATATCATTTAGATGACCTGGTATATTATAATTGGACAAATCATAAATTATGTGGTACAGTTTGTTTATCTAAGAATTTCTCATGTCTAATTTAAATCTTCCCAAATTAATATCGACCGCACAAATGTAAATCTAATATCCTATTATTCCTTTTTTCATTTCACTTTCATTTTCCACCCATAAGGTATCACACTCTTCCACATCCAAATTCCAATGCCTGTATCTCAGTTATGTCAATTCCAAATACACAGAGAATCAAATTCCAATGACTACAATGTTTTCTTGAATTTATAAGCGAATCAAACATTCGATTTAAACATAAAAAGAAGCACATGCATGCATGATGCAACCTTCTCGTTGTCCCCTTCATTTCCTTTTATAAAACGGATCCAATGGATGTGCAGTACAGTACTCCCACTACTTTATTACAAACACCTCTTACATGTTTTTATCTAAATTACTAATACTAATAATTATTAATTTTGTCCACCTAATATCCATAACTAATTATAAAATTCTTTCTGATTAATTAAACAAACTCCTATAACTAAATATTCGAAAAATAAAAAAGAAAAATATTTGAAGCAAGTAAGGTACGGATAAATATTTGAAGAAAAAACATTTGATCAAGTGAACTGGATGATAGATTGACTTGAATTAATAATAATTTTGGAAGAATATATAGTTTCAAGCAGGCCCTAAATGTTTAATAGTTTAAATTGATAATTGTACTCATTTTTTTTAAAATAAATAACTTAACCGTTATTCAATTGGTATTTTGAGTCCTAATTGTCCTTCCCCTCAATTAATTTAAGTTTGTAGGTTTAATTCCAGTTTTCTGTCTTTATGGATCCGATACTCTCAGTTACTGAACATATCAAAGTGAAAAGGGATACTAAGGCTTTGTATTTCAATGAGAAGAAAATAGAGATGATAGAAAATTAGGAAAGAAAATTAGAGAAAAAAAAGACATTTTCACCCTTAGCTTATTTTCCCTACTGTGCCTTTAGAGATGGGAGAACTAAAGAAAAAAAAAAAAACTTCTGTTTGATTATGTTTTCTGTTTTGTTGGGAAAAAAAGATTATGTTTTCTTTTTTAATATTTTTAAACCAATTATGTAGAGCTATTTTTTAGAACAAGTTCTAAAAAAAAGAAAAAAATATGTTTAAATCATGATTCTAGAAGAAGTCTAAAGTAATAAAATAAAGGGTGAAAGAATTATTTATTTTATTAACATCATTGTCATGAATGAAAATGTGATATTTTCCACCTTTTCTCTAGTTTTTCTGAACAAAAAAGTAACGAAACATTAAAAATAATGTTCTGATTTTTAGTTTTTCAGAAACACTTTTAACTTTTTTGTCGAAACAGATAATAATAGAAAATACATTTTTAAACATGTTTTTTATTTTTTATTTTTTTTAAAAAAATCTGCTCTACAAATAGGTAATCAAGCCCTTTATATCAGGGAAGAAAAATGTCTTTTTTTTCCCCCTACTTTTTTTTTTCTAATTTTATAATTGTTTTCTCTCCCTATTTTCTTTTCATTACGAACATGGGGAAAGGATCAACGGGATGAGAGGCTACAAGATAATGACGATTAATTATACTTTTTACGAATATTAAAAGTTAGAGGGAGGAGAAGTGATGAAGACTCGCCACTCAAAAAGATTAAGGAAACAGAACTCACCTATTTATGCGGCTATATATGCCTTTAAGAGCCAGATTTTTTACAAGGTCCCTCTATAGGGCTTATCATCATTGTGCTTATTAGGATGATGAGATCTACAAATTTAAAATATTATTTATATTTATATTTTTATATTTATTAAAATAAAAATTATAAATCAATCTAGTCTAGATTTAATTTGGAGTGTTTAATTTAATATTAAAATTTTTATAATTTTTATATATTGATTATTTAAATATACTCTACATAGTTCAGGTTTAAATTTTGAACCTACAATTTTAATTTCTTACAAAATATTTTTTAAGAAAGTGCCATTTTTACATATTTTAATTTTTAATACTGTATTTATCAAAATAAAAATGTATAAAAAATTTTGATATTAAATTTGG